AAAAAAATCCTGCAAGACATCTTCACCAAAAATAAAAATCGTGCACAACATATGGACCTGAAAAAAAAAACTGGCACCACCCTAAGCCAAAAAAAATGTTGCATACAAGGAAAAAAGAAGGAAATTTTCAAATCTAGGTAAAACTACAAATGCTTGTGGATGAAACTGCTAAGATGAATGTCGTACACATTGCACGTTTACATACGTTTTTGTTCTTCTGATTTTATTTGCACGGAAAATTGAATCTATTTGTAAAATGCTGAGGCACCATACAGAGTTTAACAGATGGGTCATGTTTTCGGGCGATTAAACTTGAGTGTTTCCATCCATGCATGTTTAGTTTAGCATAACAGTCGGGAAACCATAGTTTCGGCATAGTTCGCGAGTACTCATCTTTGTATTTCATATGTTCGAATATTACTGCATAAACTTCAGTAACTGGAGCCGTCCTTCGCTCACAATCAGCTACTGCGTTGCTCGGAAGACTATTTTTGGCTAAATCTACTCTTACAGGTGAAGGGAGCGAACTTTTTGCTATCGCCGGATTGGCGAATCTGCTGATCGCAATACTATGTGCATTTTTTTCTGCAAAGTTTTATAAACAGTTATAAAAATGCGTTTTTCCATGTATTGATATTAATCTACACTATAATCGTCATAAATTATTTTTTGATTGCAATTAGCCATCAGGAAGCTTGCAGACGTTACCCGTCTCACATTTGAAGAACAAGGCAGACAGGAAGCCCGTAAAGTGAAAGTGAGTAATGAGGACTGTATCAGTATTCTTGACACCTTTGTGCTGTGACGCAGGATGAATAACCATATTCAACTGACTTACCTTTAACANTATGCGCTCTGATATAACTAACAAACAAATTAAACTCTAAAAGCTAAACTAAACAAATAAGTTTTGAGTTCTTTCTTAAAGGACAGCAAAGAGTCAATGTTTCTTAAATCAGATGGGAGAGAGTTCCATAAAGTAGGGGCAGCAACAGAGAAAGAGCGAGAGCCATATGTTTTCATGGAGTAAGGTTTAACAGATAGGAGTAGTTCTTTAGAGGACCGAAGCGTTCTTTTAGGTTTGTATACAGAGATCAGTTCAGAAATGTAAGACGGAGTAAGACCATGTAGTGCTTTGAAGGTAAGTAGAAGAATCTTGTAATTAATACGTTGACGAACAGGGAGCCAGTGTAGATCTTTTAGTAAAGGAGTAATGTGATCACGACGTTTAGAGAGAGTAACAATTCGGGCAGCAGAATTAAGAACACGTTGTAGCTTATCCAGGTGAACACCAGATAAAGTACCTTAACGAACATCCGTACATCACTGACGTCAAAGGAGATTCTTCTGTGCTCTCTCTGGTCAGTATACATGTTATCTAGTTCCACATGTATTTTAAGGTCGGGTGAAGCTATACGATATATCATCTGCACGCTGCGTCTTACCGTACACGTATCTCCAATGCTTATCGCTTATAGTTTTACTGAACAACCTCGAATCATGATTGAACGCTGAGTTAACGTTGTAGCCGTTACAAAGTTTCGTTGTTTAAGAGCACTAAACGACCGGCTGTTATCAGTCAAGGCCAAAATCGATGACCACTTCTTAAATACCAGCTGACAGATCGTGGATTTAATTTGAGTCGATGAGTTTGATGGTCAGTGAAATAATACTGTGTAATGACCTGCAGGTTTATTTCATCCATTTCTAYATTTACGATTTTCTTTCTATTAAGTTTTATCATCATCGTTATCTTTGTAGATRAAAGAAGTGTAAAGCCAGCTAAGAAACAGTTTCCATACAATGTGTTGGTGGTGGTTTTGGTAATTATTCTTCTTGTGTGTGTTTGTGTTCTCATTGCTGTCTGGATAAACAAATCAAGGAAAAGAGGTACAGTGAGATCCAGTAAACGTACTTGATCGGTTTTATTAGTAGGACTGGAATACATTCATCCATCGCTAATGCGTTTGCAGGTCAATCAATCGTTGGTTGAACGTTAACTGTCACCAAATAATTGTTGCTCTCTCATGCAGGGTTCTTTTACACTCCAATACGAGGGCGGGGCTACTTCCTATATATATCGTAGGGTAGAGATGAGCGTCGAAAATCAATTATTCTTAATGGAAACTTACCATAACAAACAGCTATCTGTACCACAATGYTGCCTTTCATCTCAAAATAAGTGAGCTTACAGTTTTCCGATTTTGATCAAATGCAGCGAAAAGCATCTACGAGACGGTATCAAACAGGTAACCCAAAAATAATAAATGTCACCCTCGCGAGCTACACTTAAATACACTTTATATTCAAAACAGGGACCGCGGAGCGTGAACTGTTTGGGGGGCTAGCGACGACGAGGTACTACGGGGGTTCGGAAATTTTTGAAATCTTAACTCTCGGATGTCATTTCCAGCGTTTTGAGGCGTTATCAAAGACATTTTACCGCACACACGGTCAGGGATTATCAAAAAAATCCCAAAGACTTCGCAAAAATTAAAACTCTTCAATTTTAATTGTTCACGCTCAGTTTTTACACAATTTTTATAGAATATGTATGGTGGAATTTCATTAGGAGGGGCTTTATTTAAGAAAATTCAACTATGTCTCCGCGGTCCTTGTAAAAGAGAGAGTACATCACAAAATGGGTCTTGTGTCAGGCGGGAAAATCCAGCCGTCCAAAAGAGGCAATTCATTGGTTGGTTTGCATCAAAAGGGTCTTAATTCTTTAACCCCCTTTAGTGCTGTCCATTCTCATCATTGTCCTGCCTGCAAGGAAGGTCACCAATCAATGTGGGCTTTTTTGATCAGAAACTGCGCGCATTGTGTTTGTGTCTAATTTGTCCAGTTGCATGACGGTCAATGTGCGTCACAGTGCCTCTGCCTAGCATCGTGCGTCTTGCGTCAGTGCTGTGTATTGGCTAGGGTCAGGTCAAGATGAGAGAGTACATCACAAAAGGGGTCTTGTGCCAGGCGAGAAAGCCGCCCAAAAGAGGCAATTCGTTGGTTGGTTTGTATCAAAAGTGTCTTAATTCTTTAACCTCCTTTTGTGATGTCCATTCTCAAAAACATGATAGGTCTATTAGCCTAAAGGGGGGATATCGAGGACAATTTACCCGTAACACGCTTCCCTTTTCTCGCCCCCATTCTCCCTCTTTTGACTCCCAAAAAAGACAGGAATCCCGTGAGTCTTTGTGATTCTTTGTGATGCCTGCGGAGGAGGCTAGACCCGTTCAACGATTGAAAAACAGAAAAAAAGACTACTTCACCATGACACGTTTTATTTCTAAACAAATGTATGGAGGGGTGATAATGGTCCCAAGTGCTACATTGGAGATGTGGGTTGAGATGAAAGTTCATGGTTGGTTTCAGAGACATGTAAAGTGCTGAGCCCCTAAGAAGGCCACTAGTTTTGTTGTCTTGTGCATGTGAGGAATCCCCATTGCGAGGTGGGTATGGTTTTTTTCTTCCATAATACTATTCACAGTGCTAAAACTAAGATGGCCACTACTTTTGTTGTGTTCCAGATTGCATAGGATATTCACCACCTGTTGGGTATGGTGGACTGGCTTGAGGTGGTCCTTGAAACTGGGGATTGGAGGCAGGAGTTGCCTGTGATGAATCAGCATTTATTCCTGGATATTGTGGAGGTGGTTCACTTGGAACAGGATCATTAACTGGTGGAATATAGCTACCTTGAGGGTATGGTGAGTAGCCACCAGGTGGGGCAAATGAACCTTGAATTGGTGGTGGGTGGCTGCCTTGAGGTGGTGGGTAAGTGCCTTGAGGTGGTGGGTAGATACCTTGAGGTGGTGAGTAACTGCCTTGAGGAGGTGGGTAGCTGCCTTTTTCAGATGGGTAGCTTGGTTGGCCTGGAGGTGGATAGCTTCCAGCAGGCACAGCAAAGCTACCCTGTGCTGGAGTAGGTCCACCTTGTGTCTGCATAGGATACTGAGGTGCACCAGGAGGTGGTGCAYGACTTGTTGTCATAGTTGTTGACTGTGTTGTTGTAGCAGCAGGAACTCTATGTACAWTGCCWRCATTACCTTTACGTTTACACATCCRAACACAGCATATYAGAATAYCAAGACCAAAACTCACACCAARCACTATGCCAAMAATCATACCAWMATCTGGAAGAATAAGAAAACTACATTTAATACAAGTTAAGATACATGTCATTTCATATCACACAAGAAAATTCACARCAATATTAATTGTTGTCCATGGGCTGCTTTGRATTCTAATATTGCAAAATATCTGTARGAAATAACTCACTTGRATCAGMCTCATACTCATAGTACTTTWAGTTGAATCCTGCATTATTGGTTAAAAMGTAGTCATCAGAATCGGTCTTGAACTTTACTGTCATATATCTACCAGTAGAGCGAACTGTTGAAGATGAAACACTACTACAAACTGATTTCAGCTCTGTACTATAAGTGGATGACCCATCAGTTATTGTCAAAATATCTTTGTTAGAAGAGTATCTATTGCATGAATAGGAATACTTGTTATATATCTTGACATTGGATAAAGTCAGCTCAAT